AGGGAAAAGCAACTAAAAAAAAAAAAAAAAGCCATAAAAGTAGAAGGAGACCATGGGTACAGGAAGGGAATCAAGGGGAGGGAGGCAGGAATGATGGGGGAGGTATTGAGGAGTGAAGTTTTTCAAATTGCATTTATATATATATATATATATATATATATGAATATGCCACTTGAAAACCACCATTCCGTATAATTAATAGTGAACCCATTAAAGAAACTAACTGAAAGCTTAAAGAATCAATTGAAGAGAGCAAGGCATGAGCTGGAAACAAAAGAGATCAAATGCCCACAGAAGAGTGGACGGACACCTCCGCATCCAGCAACCACAGAGCAGAGGGCAGAGATGAGGGGCCAAACTGAAAACTGAAGCTTCTGTCAAAGTCTTACTCTGAACAGTATTGTAGTGTTAGGTCTAAAAATATAAAAAGAATGCCACTGTACATAAACTCTTACAGATATTAATGCACGTTTGTTTTCCTTCTATTCTGAAAAACAAGGCAACCTGATTGTACTATACTTTGGATCATTTTTAATAAGTAAAACTTAATATACCATTGTTGGGAAGGATTTTTTTAACCATTACAAAATTTAAGTATCAATAAGCCATGGCTTATTAACAGACAAGAGGATCAAGGCCCAGTAAAGAGAAACAAACTAGTATTTCATCTACTTAAAGAAAATATAGTTAACATTTATTATGCCAACTTTGAAAAAAAAACCAGAATATTTTATGTGAAATTTTCTAATGTTGAAGCAGGGGTTCTTAATAGTTCTGGGGTCTTGGGTATTCTCCCTAGAATACAGATGCTACATTTCAGGGCTTCATGTAACTTGGGTTAAGGGACACTGCTCTAACCCAATGCTGCATCTGGGCAGAAGATGCAGAACTCTGGGTAATAATTTCAAAAATGGTAATAAGCTCTTTCAAGCATGTAAGATCACATATTACATCAGAATGTAAATTATACTTCAGTTTCTGGACCAAACTTTTCTAAAAGCTACTACTGCTTTTCCTTTGCCACCCAACCTGGAAAAGGAGAAATGATTCTCTACATACCAAATGCACCTCCGATCTCTGCCCCACTGGTTGGAATATTGACATTTACAATGCCACAGTCTGAACCTTTAGGTCTGTGCGTAAAACGAGAGGTATGGTGAGAGCAATATATAGGAAATTAAAAACAACACAAACAAAAGCCCAATTAATCAAAGACTCTCAATGCTAAATAATGGATTCATTCTTTTAAAACCCATTCACCACAGAAATCAGACATATAAATGTTAAAAATAAACAAAGTTATACCCAAGCCAACGGAAGATTCTGCCCAAATCTTTAGTAAAAATGCTACTTGAAAGTCCCTGTTTCACTTCATTGTTCCATGCAAAGACCTCTTCTTCAGTCTAAAAGGAGAAGTGTTGGAAGCTGTTAAGACACTACAATGTTCAGGTCAAAGTTCACTGATGTTAAACTCATTTCACGAGATATACCAATGTCATTTTAGTGTACAAATAGAAACCAGTCAACATGTTACTAATTCTATTTTTCTTATAATTTATTTCTTATTTTTTTTTTTCTTTGGGGTGGGGGCGGTTACCAAGGATTGAACTCAGGGACATTCAACCACTGAGCCACATCCCCAGCCCTATTTTGTATTTTTATTTAGAGACAGGATCTCACTGAGTTACTTAGCACTTCACCTCGCTTTTTCTGAGGCTGGCTTTGAACTCTCGATCCTCCTGACTCAGTCTCCCAAACTTCTGGGACTACAGGCATGTGCTGCCATGCCCAGTGTCTCTTATAATTTAGATAATTTTTAATAGTAATATCTTGAAGGATATTTTCCTCCATGATACTTTAAGAAACAAAGATTAGTGTGTTCTTCCATTCAAGCTACTAAGAGTTAATATATATTGAACTCCTATCATGTACAATACACTGATGTATGCACTTAACATTCATTTATTTATTTAATCTCCACCCTATGGGGATTAAACAAGTTTTATATTAACAAGTTTTATATTAACACAAGTTTTATATTATCACCAATTTACAGATTCACCAACTGAAGCCCAATAAAACTAAATGTAAATAATTTGCACAAAAGCTCACAAACACTCTCATTACAAAACATGAAATTATTCTAAGCACTATATTTGAAATAATAATAGATAACTTAAAGATAAAATAAATGCAATCTTATAATTGCAACAAGGTGCAATTCTCACTATATTTTGATAACAGTAGCACATTCAAACCTTGATTCAATCTCTGAAAAAACTAATTCTAAACATTTGTTGGCAAAGCCAGAGCCTGTCTCAGGCCAGGGAATTATCTTTACATGTTAAAACTGCCATCATCTGACCCCTACCCCTGATGGGGTTGATAACTGCATGTCTTCAAATTACCCCCACATCTTCTCATCTTGTCTGCTGACAAGTACCCAGTGCTCAGGCTATGGAATGCTCTAGTCCTCCTGTCAGGAGCAGCTGCCTCTGAGACCCACACAGCTGAGTAAGGTGAAGAGGAATTGAGGGTCACACATCCTACAAACTCAAACACAGGTCCATTATTCATCTCAGCTTCTCTGGTACCTAGCTAGGAATGCTTTATAGTTTTAAAGTGTTCATCTCATAGTTTGTCCTGAACATTTCAATTTCTACTATTTCAAGTGACTTTCTAAAACCTTCTTAAAAGCTGACTGAAATTTAATATACCTTCATTTTCCCTTAGTTTTATCATGTATTTCAACATTAGACTAGAGACACAGAATCTGTTTGTACCTTGAATTTAAAGACATAGAGAATGGGAGCAAAAGTCTCTGTGTGTGCAATGGAGGCATCATGGGCAAGACCCGTCACGATTGTGGGTTCCACATAATTTCCAGGGCGATCCATAACCTCGAGTAGAAAGATGAAATAAAAGGAATAAAACATTTCATTTTCTAGTACTTGGGAGTTA